CTAATATGGCCACAGCTGGATGGATGTGCCCAAATGTATACACATCAAACATGTTTTAAAAAATATTTTTAAAATCTCTGTGCATAAAATGGATTTTATATTTAGGATAATTTTCTTAGGGTAGATTCTGAAAAAAAAAAATGCATCCCTATTTAAAAATGACCTTAGCAGACATCAACAGTTGTCATCATCAAAAAAAGGCAAAAATTCTCAAAATTTTTAATTGTTTTTTATATACACCAATGCCTTAGAGTAGCATGGTGGGGGATCTCTAAATAATTTTCTTCGAACAAATTTTATTATTGTAAACATCAAAGTAAACAGCAGTGTCAAAGAGGTCTGTGGTTTTCAAATGAAGGCAAAGTTTACATTAGAAGGACTGGTTGGGATAAAGAAGGTGATGTATCTATCCTTCTGGCGTCAATGCTACTCCTGTCCAGATCTTGGTCTTTCTATCTAGATTCCCTTTTACTTTCCCTGAATTTGGACTTAGGGCTGTCATCACTCAAGACATTTTCAGTTTTGGGGGAAGATTCTAGCTGTATGGGCTAGAGTTCTAATTAATTGAAACCTATCTAATTAATTGAGCCCTATGTTTCATTACAGGGATAAATACATAAATTATTACCCTTATACTCTACTTCAATATTCTTAAAATGTGTAAAAATTTAATAACAAAGTGTTTTCGTTATAGAAAGTATGAAAAATGCAGATAAATTGAAATTCCTTTTTGAATCCTGTTTCTTGGCTTCCACTCACCTACCAAAGTATCAGAGAAAATTACTTGTTAGTTTGCTCTAACTGCACTGTCCAAAATGGTAGCTACTAGTGACATGTGACTAGTAAATGTAAATGTAAATGTAAAGTATATTTAAATAAAATTAATATTGTTAATTATAGTAGCCGTATTTCAAATGCTCAATAGCCACATATTGCTATTGTGTTGGACAGAGCAGATATAGACCATATCTGTCACTGAAGAAAGTTCTGTTGAACAGTTCTGTAGAATCAAGTCCAGGAAGAGATCATGTAGTAGGCAGAATAATGCCACCCCTAAAGATATCTATGTCCTAATCTCCACGATCTGAAAATGTTACCTTACTTGGCAAAAGAGACTTTACAGATGTGATCATAGTTAAGGATCTTGAGATGAGAAGATTATCCAGGATTATCTGGGTAGACCAATTGTGATAACAAGGGTTCTTAGAAGGAGTCAGGCAGATTAGAGTCTGAAAAAGATGTGCTTATCAAAACAGAAGGTAGAGTGATGTGCTTTAAAGGTGGAGGAAGGGGCCTTGGGCAGAACAGAAATGGCCTCTACAAGTTAGAAAAGGCAAGGAAACAGACCCTCCCCTAGAGCCTCCTGAAAGAAGAAAGCACTCTGACACTGATTTTAGGACTTCTGACCTGCAATACTGAAAGATGGAAAGTTGTATTGTTTGAAGCATTAAATTTGTGGTAATTTGTTACAGTAATGCTAGGAAACTAATACATATGACAATAGATATTTCCATTCCTCTCTTTATGAATACTAACTGTCTCCAATTATTTCTATCATAAATAAAGCTACTATAACATTTTTCTATATACAGAAGCAAATATTAGATAGTGGAAAGTGCTGTTGACAAAATTAAACCACAGACAGTGTTAGTATATTTAGATCAGCAGGGATATGTGCAGTATTATGTTGGTAAACGTTTAACAACTTCCTTTCCAGAAAAACAAAAACTAAAAAAAAAACAACCCAAAACCCTGATTTGTACATTTGCCAATTCCCACGGTGTAAATACTTTTGGCTACCAACATCATGTCATTGAACAAAGTTCTGGGAGGATAAGTCAGCTTTTGCACACTGTTGGATTTGTGTCTGTGCATATGTGTATGGGTGTGTCTAGGTTTTTATGTGTTTACATGTGGGGGGGTTCTATTTTTTTTTTTATTTGAGCACACACACGCGTGTGAGAAAGCGCAAGAGCGTGCACACACAGGGGAGAGGGGCAGAGGGAGAGAGAGACAATCTTAAGTAGGCTGTATGCTTAGTTTGGAACCCAACGTGAAGCCTGATCCCAAGACCCTGGGATCATGCCCTGAGCCAAAATCAAGAGTTGGATGCTCAACCGACTGAGACACCCAGGCACCCCTGGAGTTTCTATTTTAAATAGGAGGTGTCTCTGATACTTGTCAGAGCAGACTCTTGAAGGAAGTGATGGAGACACTTCTGCAGATAAATGAGGAAAAAGTATCCTTGGCAGAGGGAATAGTAAATGCAAATACTTGATAGAGGAGTGTTTGGTATATTTGATGGATTTCAGGTGTGCCTGAAGGCTATCAAGAATGCTAATACAGTTAGAGAAGCTTGAGTTGCTTAATTGTGGTAAGTAAAGTCAGAGTTAGTTGTGCATTTGTAAGTGTATTTGTACTTAAAAGGCAGGTAAGACCTCATAAGTCATTGTAGAAACTTTTATTTTGATGGAAATGGAAGGGGTTTGAAAAGAGTAACATAATCTGAGTTAAATCTGGCTCTTCTGTTAAGGAAAACAGCAGCCTGAGACACAGTCAGGAGGGTGTTGCAATAATCCAAGTGATAGATCATGGTGACTTGGCCAAAAGTTATCAGATATTGCAAATAGAGCTGATGAAATTTGATGAAAGATTGAATGTGGGGTGAGAGAAAGAGAGGAGCTAAGGATGATTCCAAGATTTTGGCTTTAGTAATTGGAAAAATGAAAGTGTCATCAGCTGTGATAGGTAAGTTAGTGTGAGGATATTTTGAATATAGGGGCATATCAAGAGCTAATTTTGGGTATGTTAAATTAAGATGACTAAAATTCCAGTCTGGTGGAGAATTGGATATACATGTCTGGGAAAGAGAATTAGCTGGAGATGTAAATTTGGTATTTAAAGTAAAAATGCTGGATAAGATCACATAGGGAGAGTGTAGATAGAGAAATTTAAGGACTGAGCCCTGTGCTTCAGTATTTTGAGACAAAGTACACAAGGAGAAACCAGAAATGGAGAATGAAGGGCCATGAGGTAGGAGGAAAACCAAAAGAGAATAGCATCAAATTAAAGAAAATGTTTCCTGGAAGAAAGAATCATAAAACCCAACAAATACTCCTTGTTTGTCAAATAAACTGAAGTTTCAGAATTGACCATTGAATTTTAAAGTGTTATTAATTATGTTGACCAAAACAAATTTGCTACAGAGATGGGTATAAAACTTCGACTTGCAGTGGCTTCAAGAGAGAATGGAGGAAAGGGAACTGGAGACATCAAATGTAGCCAATGCTTTCTAGTTTTTCTGTGAAAGGACAGTGGCTAAAAATAGGATCTAAAAAGGGATATTAAAAGGCTAGAGATATTACAGAATGTGTGTGTACAGATGGAAAAAAAAATCAACAAAGAAGGAAAATTCATGAAGTAGAAGAAGGGAGAATTGCCAGAGAATGTCCTTAAGAAAGGGAGAGGACAGGGATCTAGGGCCCAAGTGGAGTGGTCACAGATGGTTCATCAGTGGAAGAAAGTGGAGATTGATGGATAGATATGGTGGTGGGATTATGTGGAAAGTCTCTATGGGATGGTTCGGTTTTGTGAGTGAAGCAATGTTATCAACTGAGGGTGAGGATGGGATAGGAGTGAAGGGAGGTTTGAGGAAAAGAATGGGTGAATGAAAAGACTTCAGAAAGAGCAAAAGACTCCCGGAAATACTTAAAACCCACTTGAATGGTCGTGAATTTAAATTAAGACCCAACACAGACCTGTCTTGTGTATTTTAATTAAGCCAATATCAATTCACAGATGCAAGTACAGAATAGATTGAGATTGTAATTTAAACAGGGATGGAGGTTTGTCAGGTGAGTATAAAGGGAAAAAGAATGGCTACAGAGCTAAGGCAAAGTGTAAGGGAATATTATAATAATGCACAATGGACTGTAGGAGGGAGGATAAGGAGAAGAGTAGGGTTTGGAGTCTGGTAGGAATAGAAAGAAAGAGGACTACTAGCCCAGTGTCGTCTAAGAATTGTTGGAGTTGGGATACTGGCATGAATGAGTTGAAAAGATAGATGAGGTTGAAGAGTGAGACAACTGAATTGTGAATATGGAAAGGTATAGTATTTGGTGATGACATGGCCTAATGTATGACTGCGGGTGTGACTGGATGATAGGGTGAAAGATAGCATCATCGGCAGAGAGAAGGCCTTGGAAATGGGAGGCCAGATAGTGGAACGATCAACTGTGTGGATACGGAAATCACAATAATTACTACAGGTATAGTATTAGAGGTAATTACAATGAAAATCACAGTGTTCTCAGTGTGGTCCTCAGACTAGCAGTGCCAACATGGCCTGATTAGTTAGAAATGCAAATTCTCAAGTCCCATCCAGATCTATTGAATCAGAACCCCTGAGAGTGGTGCTTCACTGATGCACAATAAAGTTTAGGGACTAGTGTCCTGTAGCACAGAAGATAAAAAAGTTAATTGGGAGAAATAGCAAGGATTTCAATGAGGTAGCACTTAAACTACACCTGAATTTATTGCAAGGTTAAGTGCAGGGGCCTTAAAATGAAAAGGAGCAGCATTTGTAAAGAAAAGCTAGAGTCATAAAAGACCTCAAGTAAGATCAAATGAAATTATGTAAATGTGTAAATTGTTAGGCATTAATATCAGAAAATCATGTCTTGTTAGGAAAGCATTGTTTCTTCAGGAATCCTGATAAAACATCACAAACATTTATTCATCTACTTCTCAGTCCGCTGGTATTAGGTTCAGTAAGTGTAATTGCCTTGGCATACAATCATTTTCCATAATTTCTCAACACTTCTGTGAAACACAGGAGAAATAGTTCTAAAGCGCTGATATCACACAAAAATCTTAGAACGGAAGCCTGGCCCTTTAATGACATCCCTGGGCCCCCACCGAGGAGGGTGTTTTCTACCCTGGCGCCTCCGGGGGCGGGGCTTGCGCCAAGCCTACGTCACTACCGAGCGCCGGGCGCACTCCTTTGGCGGCGGATTCAAACGTTCGGGCTGGGGTATCGGGCCTGAAGGAGTGTCCCTGCGGCTGGGTGCTTCCTGCTGTCCGTTCGGGTGTGAATTTCAGTGCGGTGCCAGGAGGATCTTGGTAGCGAAGGCGGCTAGTGCCTGAGGGAGAGAATGGCGCCCTCGACCACAGTCTCCCAGAGAAAGAAGATAAAACGGAAGGCTCCCCGGGGCTTTCTTAAGCGCGTCTTCAAGCGACAGAAGCCTCACCTTCGTCTAGAGACAAGTGGCGACTTACTGGTGAGATTCTGTCCCTTTTTTGGGTGGGAGTGGGGCAAGGAAAGGTAAAGGAAATAAACCCCAGGTTTTATTTCGCCACCCCAGCTCTTTCAGGCCTCCGTTTAAGGCGTTTCCAGCAATGACTAGGGCAGGTTTGCTCCGGTTTGGCTGGTCAGTTCGTATGACGCTTAGTTGTCCCTGGGCCCGGTGAAATATAAATATCCGGACCTTTTTTACGGGAGGCTATTAGCCACATCATCTTACGAAAACTAACGTTAATTTCTGCTTTTGGCTTTTACATATCACTTTTCCAGAGCACAGTCTGGTACTGCGCTTAAGTGTACTTGAGAAAGGTATGAAAGATACAGTTAAAAAAAAATCTGGAATTCAGGCTGGGTTATATTTATCTCTTGTAAAGGGTATTACTGACATGGCTTTTAAATGTGTACCTCCGGGGCGCCTGGGTGGCGCAGTCGGTTAAGCGTCCGACTTCAGCCAGGTCACGATCTCGCGGTCCGTGAGTTCGAGCCCCGCGTCGGGCTCTGGGCTGATGGCTCAGAGCCTGGAGCCTGTTTCCGATTCTGTGTCTCCCTCTCTCTCTGCCCCTCCCCCGTTCATGCTCTGTCTCTCTCTGTCCCCAAAAAATAAATAAATGTTAAAAAAAAAAAAAAAATTTAAATGTGTACCTCCTTCCTTGCCTTTCTCCCTTACCCCCATTTTTACTTAGTTAACCAGACATATTTCCCTATTTCCTCTACTTTAGCTTACTTATTAAAGAACACTGATCTAAGTTTACTTGTAAGCAGTGTGCTTTCAACTGTGAATTTATTTTCCTAGACAAATAGAGCACCTCTTAGTTGAGTTTTCAAGGCAAACCAGTAAAACTTGTTTATCTTACTCATAATCCTGCAGCATAATACTCACCATAACCAAAACCACTGTGTAATATTTCTATCTTGAAATAAATTGAGAGTTTTTATGTTGTATGCCTGGAGCATATTGTTTTCTAGCAGAATAAACACTCTTTCCCTAGGTTTAAACCAAAAGAGGCACTTCCTCCCTTTTGTCACGAGCTTTTTGAGTAAAGGAGCCATTGTAAGTGGGCACCTAATTTCCAGGAAGTCAAGGTAAAGAATTGTGGGTAGCCAGGATATATGGCTTGGAGAATGTCTTCAGAATGCGTCATCTATCTGTTCTTAAGCTACCTTGGGTGTTTTCAACTCTTCTCTGTAGCCTTCCCGAATTCACTAACTGCCTTCCCATCTGTTGCCTGCAAGTGCAGCGTTTCTGTATTTGCTAGAGTACTATAGAATTGTCCTCACTTTTCCATTATTTGGTTTCTGAAGCCAAAATAGCTTTTTTTTTTTCTTCTGGGAAAAGTAGCCCTTCTGATATCTCCTGCCCTTCTTTTTTATCCCTTTCGAGACCCTGTAAGAAAAGACAATACAGTTGACCCTTGAATGACCCCTCCCACCCCCCCCAAAGTTGAAAATCCATGTATAACTTTGACTCTGCAAGAACTTAACTACTAATAGTCTCTTGTTGACCAGAGCCTTACTGGTAACATAAAACAGTTGATTAACACATTTTTTGTATATGTATTACATACTGTATGCTTACAATAAAGTAAGATAGAGAAAAGAAAATGTTAAGAAAGTCATAAGAGAAAATGCATTTACAGTACTGTATTAAAAAAAAAAATCTATCTTCGGGGCGCCTGGGTGGCGCCAGTGAGTTCGCGTCCACCTCAGCCAGATCCGCGATCTGTGGTCCGATGATTCAGGCAGCGTCAGGCTCTGGGCTGATAATGAAGCCCAGCCTGGAGCCTGTTTCGATTCTGTGTCTCCCTCTCTCTCTGCCCCTCCCCCCCCGTTCGTATCTCTCTCTGTCCCAAAAATAAATAAATAAATGTTAAAAAAAAAATTAAAAAAAAAAAAAAGAAAGAAAAAAAAATCTATCTTTCTCAAGAGTCATCTTATGTATACAATTTTGTTTTTTTTAAAAATTTTTTTTTTTCAACGTTTATTTGCAGGACAGAGAGAGAATAGGCAAATATGAGGAGGCTGAAAAAAGGAAAGAAGATACAGAAAATGTTCAAACTCAAACTCAACCATCAATAACAGCGAGCTTTCAGTACTAAAGAACCCAGCAGTCATGTTCCCATATCAGGCTTGCTAACCGACTAAGCCTGAAACATCTATCTAATTTTGAATGCCCCTCTCCCCCAATGGCAAAATAGCATAATGAGCTGGATTAAATAAAGTGATCTGCAGAACATTTTTAAGAATTTATTCTGGAGTTTTCATTGGTGCTGGGTTTCTAATTGGAGGGGGAGGAAATGTACCTGCTCCAGAATATCTATGAGATTACAAACTGGAGCAGATTATTTGGCAGAAATTTCTCAAGTAGTCAGAGTCCTCCCATATCCCTCCCTGAGCTGCCTGCCTTAAAGTGATCCATGGACAGGTGGGCTCTATTGTGGATTGGGATCCAGGTGCTGTAGGAGACAAGGGAAATGTCACGCAGTTGCAGTGGTAGAGGAAAGGAGGCTTCTGTTGGCATCTGTTCCTAGGTTGTATGCTTGTCTTTGGCTTGTGTTGGTTCTCTGTCACTGTCTTGTATATGCCATCCATCACCTTGGTTTCTTTGCCTATGGTTTTCTGCTTGCTTTTGACACTTTGTAATCTTATCCAGCAAGTGTCCCCCGTCATCCATAAACTTTTCTACAATTATGGTGGTCAGTTTTGATCTGTTTTTTCTGAACTTTGATAGCAGTGATTACAGTTTAGCTATTGAGACTCTGGCACTGTTCTCTAAGTTTCATATGTCAGTTTTGACTCCCAGTGTGGTATGCATCTTCTTGAGAATAAGGAACCATACATATCCTTTTTGTCTCCCATTATCTTTAAAAGAAAACTAATCCACTTTTTTTTTTAAAGTTTTTATTTTTAAATAATCTCTACATTCAACGTGGGGCTCAAATTTACAACCCCAAGATCAAGAGTTGCACACTCCACCAACTGAGCACAGCCAGGAGTCTCAAAACCGATCTACTTTGTATATAGGTTTGTCTTTTGTATATAGTATTGTTGTCTTTTGTAAGGTTGTCTTTTGTATATAGTATTTCTTCTACCTGAAGATGTCCTCACTCTACTTGATAAACTCCCAGTTTCAAAATCTAGTTCAAATGCCAGCCACTTCCTGAGTCCTCCTTAATCTTAGGACCAACTTTATTTTTCTGTATCATCTATGGACAAATGTTTGTCTTTAATTTCGTATAGGTTTGGTTCTCTCCTTGGATGGGGACTTTGAATTGGGAACTTTTTGTATTCCTACTCTTTGGTATAATACTTTGAGTATTATGAGTATACAACTAGTGTTGGGAATGCATGGTAATTAATGTGGGTTGATTATTACTTATAACATTTTACTCATAAAGTCTTTGTGTTATTTCATAGTTCTTCTGCACTGGCTTTTTGTTGTTTTAATTTATGACTTGATTGTATATCCCCATGTCCAGTACTGGTGAGTACATCTATTAATCTGAATAAATTGTTCAGCTTTCTCATGGATTAGTTGTTTTTCAGATTTCTCACTAGTAATGCTGTGCAAATATCTGGATGCTTATGGTTGGTGTAAAATTGAAAAGTGCTATGATGAAGGGAGGAGGAAATCAGGCTGGCCCAGTCTTTTGGCCAATTGACACTGTAAAGGAATGGATATTTCTTTGTAAATTATCTTTTGCTTTATCTTTCAAGCAAACTGACGTTTTTTCCCAAGTAAATTTTTGATAGAATGGTCATTTTGAAGTTTGAGTGCCTTGTGGGATACCTTAAAATTTGTTTTTGTTAGGACCATTTTAATTTAAACCTTAGTGCATTTGAGTGGCACCACTCAGTTAACTGTTTTATGACAGAGGATTAGGTTGCTTTAAAAAAAAATTCTGTGACATTAAAAAAAGTAATATTAATTTGTCTCAGTACCTGTGGCTCATGTTTATAAGGCAGGTCTTTCCACATAGGTTAATAGGGTGAACTAAATCTCAAAGCAGTTTGGGAATTTTTGTTTTTTGCCTTTTCATTTTTTCAAAAGTGAAGTATAGTTGATGCACAACATAGTGATTCAACAAGTGTGTATGCTCTGCTCACCACAGATGTAGCTACCATCTGTCACCATACAACGCTGTTACAATACATTGACTATATTTCTTGAGCTGTACCTTTTATTCCCATGACTTGTTCATTCCAGTGACTTATTCATTCCATAACTGGAAGCCTGTATCTCCTATACTTCTTCACCCATTTTCCAATCCCCCCATTCCCCTTCTCTCTGACACCCATCAGTTCTCCAAAACAGAGTGTGGTTCATTGCAGATTGACTAAAAAATTTTTTTTGCCTAATTTGTGGAGAGATGGACAGATTTAATTGTTGACTACCTTATGTGTGTGTGTGTGTTTGTGTGTGTGTGTAAATGGCTAAGATCACTGAGGATACAATGTTGGGGAAATTAGACATAATTCTTCCCCTTATATAGTACATTGAGGAAGACAGGTGAGAAATTGCTGCATAATGTATGTAGTGTGTACAGTTGTGAGAAGTTCAGGATGCATAACCTTACATATTGGGGGTAGTTGGACTTTTCAGAGAAGTCTACAAACTAGTAGGATGCCGGTAGGCAAGGTTGTATTTGAATACCAAAAGAAGTTCAAAAGACTTACTATAGAACTGTGAGCTGAGAATGGTGAGAGATGAAACTGGAACAGCCTAGTCAAATGGGGTTAGTATTAAGGAATTTATCCTGGGCATATCTGGAAGCTATTATATATTTAGAAGTAGGAAATCTAGATTAACAGGAAATTGTGCCCTATTATGGAATGTTTTTGCTGCAGAAGGAAATGGGCTATCATTAGAAGTTTAAAAAAGAACTGAATGACAGGGCATTACGTAAAGAATCAGAATTGGGTGCTTTATCCTAGAGTTCTTGTGAGAATTAAGACAGCACATCAAAAAAAAGTACCAAAGGACTATCTCTTTCCATAGGTTCTTTATCTTATTAAATTTAAATTCCCAATCTCCTCTATTTTTTCCAAGTATCACTGACACATTCTTAAACGTCTAAAACCAGCTACTAAAGATTTCTGTATAATATTTAAATGTAAAACACCACATTATCTAGTTATTTAATGTTTAGTGAACTGTGGAGGAGTGGTTGTGTGCAGTACACAAGATAGTAAATATTAGATGAGTATTGTTCTACTGCAAAGAGCATATAATATTATATAAATGACCAATATATTAAAGATATTATCTAGCTGTACCTAAATGATTAATATTTATCTGCTTATGTTATCTATTTTAATGTCTTAAAAAGAGCCTTAAAGATTAGTAGTAGTAGATATGATTATTTTGATATGTTGGATGACAAGTAACTTGACCTTTATATATATACTTTTCAGTAAACTTTTAATATTTAAATTATTAACCTTTTAAAAAAATGTTTACTTGTTTTTGAGAGAGAGAGGTAGAGAACAAGTAGGGGAGGGACAGAGAGAGAGGGAGACAGAATCCCAAGCAGGTTCCATGCTGTCAGTGCAGAGCTGGATGTGGGGCTTGAACTCAAGAACCATGAGATCATGAACTAAGCTGAAATAAGAGTTGGACTCTTAACCAATTGAGCTACCCAGGTGCCTCTAACATGTTTTTGAATAGATATTTCAAATTAAATATCTGATTAAAATATCTTAAGCCCTTGGATTATAGCATGAGAGATGATTAGCTTTAAATATAATTGTTGATACCTTTTGATTTTAAATTTTTGGGAAATTCCATTATCAATTCAAATTTATTTGGAACTGGAAGGAAGAATGTTTGCTACTTAATAGAGTCCTATATAAACTTTGTAATTATGCTTTACAATAAATGGTATCATCTCTGGCCTTTGGTCAGCCTTATATAGCCTTGTTTCATGTATTGCAATGACTAAGTCTCTTTTGTGTTGAATTTAAGTTGGACTTATATTAAATTGAATTTTGTGTTAGTGAATTAACTTATACTAGTAAATATTACAACATTAAATTTTGGAATCTTATTTTTAAAAACCATTATTTCAGAGTATCAGTGTTTGAGTTTAAAAGCCCTTTTGAATTTTCTCTTTCAAGGTGCACCTGAATTGTTTACTGTTTGTTCAGCGTTTAGCAGAAGAGTCCAGGATGAGTGCTTTTGAGAATAAGTGTGGAGTCATTAAAAAGGAGCATGTACAGGCTGCAGCAAAGGTAAAATCTGACTTGCTTTACTTGAGCAAGAATTAACTTAAAAAATATCCTCTAGTGTATCCCTTCTGTCTGATTTGGATTCCTTATTCAGCTTTGTTGACTGAGTTGATGCTTGGCTTTTTTTTTTTTTTTTTTTTTTTTTTTTAAATTTTTTTTTTTTTCAACGTTTATTTTTGGGACAGAGAGAGACAGAGCATGAACGGGGGAGGGGCAGAGAGAGAGGGAGACACAGAATCGGAAACAGGCTCCAGGCTGTGAGCCATCAGCCCAGAGCCTGACGCGGGGCTCGAACCCAGGGACCGCGAGATCGTGACCTGGATGAAGTAGGATGCTTAACCGACTGCACCACCCAGGCGCCCCAGATTTTCTTTTTCTATATGTTTATATTGTGGATTTCTGATGGAAAGATTCGTGGCCACTGCTTTATCATTACTTAGGGGAAGATAAATGTTTGGCTGCTAATCTGTATGATTTAATAGTAGGCCGTATACAGTTGACAGGGTTTATCACCTCGAAATTTATGAGAACTTCATGATCACTTAAAATTTTCCTAATTATTTGTTTTTCTAACTTTGGCATTCAAATGACTTATGAATCAAATCACTAATATAAACAGAGAGGATTGTGTCTTACTGGCATTTCTATACAATGTAAGAGTATGATGCCTAGGGTAGTTTTTTCCCAAATATATCCCAAGATCACTATTTTCATTTGATGTTAGTAGATGCCCCATCATAAAATGCTTTGGGGGTCAGATAAATTTAGATGACATACTATATCTCTTTGAATAGTCACAATATTTTATATAAAGGTTGTTTCTGTAATGCTACGCAAGAAATTGACAACCATGATTGACTGGGGGATGATGTGGGAGAAAGACTTATTTTTGACAGTCTACCTCTTGGTAGACTTGTTTAATGTTTTTTTATTTTGAAATTATTATAGACTCACAGATGCAAAAATAATAGAGTTCCCATGTACCTTTTATCCAGTTTCCCACAGTGTTATCATCTTTATGTAACTGTATTTATGTAAAGTTATAAAAGCTTATGAGATGCAGCAGTAAAGAAACTTGTTGAACTCTATTTAACTTAGTATTTTAAAGATTTGAGTGTATAATATACTCAGCATTTTGTAAATTTGAGTATGTTGTACTTTCTTTTGTGGTACTAATGTGTAGAACCAGAGAAGTTACTGGCCTGGGATATAGACCTACTTGGTGGCGTCTGTGGAAGCTTAGAAATGTACATGCCCTGATACTTTTTTATGGGCTTTCAATTATCTTATATTCCAATAAGTTTCTAGACTATTAAAGTGAATATAAGTCTTTTTCTACAGGTGAAAAGCAAAGCTTAAGGGCTTGAAGAGTGTATGTGCACATTTAAAATTTATAGTTTGTTTTTATTATAGGTGTACTTACCTATAAGTAGGTAAATTCTTTAAAAAAATTTTTGGATATATTTTGGTCTAATGCTTCCTGTCTTTTACAGCTAGAGATCTAATTTTATTTTCTCATGGGCTATATGTTTTGAAAATTGTCTATCTAATGAGCTTTTTAGCATAAGATGACTAGTCTTGGTCTCTAAATTGATATGATTCCAGCTCAAATGTAAGAAATTTGGTGTTACAGTGGATTTGTATTGCTTTATAGTTGTTAAATGCTTGATTTATAATAGGATTTTCGACTTTTGGAACATTCTTTAACTCCCTGGATTACTAAATTGTCTACAAACCTCAAGTTGGGAGCCATTAATCTGGGTACTTTTGGCTTACGTTTGAAGAAATTGACATTCAGAAGTGACTATAAAACCAAATTTTGAGAATTGCATGTTTCACATTTTTTGAGAGAAGTAGACTATTTTAGGGAAGTCTAGGACCATTATAAGGCAAAAAATTCCCTAATCACCTTCTAAATTGTATTTTACAAATTCAGAATCTTGCATATTATACACATAGGATGATTTAACATTTTGTTGAGGAATTCTGTTTTATTTGCCTTGTGTATAATATGAATCTTCATTTTTTCCCCCTCACAGGTAATTCTAAAGAAGAGCAGAGGTTAGAAGTCAAAGAACCATTTTTGAAAATTATATGATGTATTATTTTAGGTGGTAACAGATCTTGAAAGCACTTTTTATATATCAGCTAAATTGTATATTAAAATATTGGCTAGTTGTGGACTGTGTGTATTTGTATATTTTTTACTGATATTGGGATATTTCTAACACCTAGGACTGTATAACTTTTTTTTTTTTTTTTTTTTTGAGGAATCATTTCATTCACTTTAAGTGGCCTCATTTTACTTCCACTTTATTGGTATTGCAAATGTTTTACGTAACAAAAATAACATTTTACTATATAAAGTAGTTTGAAGAGATGTGATTTTAGAATTAAATTTATATGGATTTAGATTTTGTTACAATTAACTATGGAATCAATTTCATTTCTAAAGACAATGTGCAGTGAATTTCAGTACATTTTAACACTGGTTTTTAACTTTTTAATGCCTTCATATAAGCAATGCAATTTTTACTTTACACTATTAATGACATTTCTCAACTGAAAATATCAGTGAGGTGTTTTCAAAACCTGTCTCTCTTCCTGAGCCAAAAAAATAACAGAGCAAACTTATTTTCTTTAAGTAGATTTAATAGATAGGTGTTTTATTTCCTCTAAGGAATCTGTTAGAAGTTCTTGTGTATCACCTGATAGTTATTTTTAACTTTTTATTTTGGAATAATTATAGATTGCAATATGAAGTTGCAAAGATAGTACAGAGAGGTCCCCATGTACTCTACATCCAGGTTTTTGCCAATGGTTATATCTTAAATATTGAAGTATGACAATCAAAACCAGGAATTTGATATTAGCATAGTGTGGGTGTGATTCTGTACCATTTTATCATATGTAGATTTGTGTAACTGCTGCTGCAGTCAAGATACAGAACTGTTTCATTACCAGAAAGTTCTCCTTCATGCTATCCTTTTTTTTTTTCATTTAAAAGTTTTTTTTTAATGTTTAACTTTTTGAGAGACAGAGACAGAGTGCAAGCAGGGGAGGGCCAGAGAGAGAGGGAGACACAGAATCCAAAGCAGGCTCTAGGCTCTGAGCCATCAGCACAGAGCTTGACGCGGGGCTTGAACTCACAAAAGTGAGATCATGACCTGAGCCGCAGTCACAGATGCTCAACCGACTGAGCCACCCAGGCACCCCCATGATGTCCTTTTATACTTACGCCTAGCCTTCTATGGACACTCCTCCCCTCCAGTCCCTAAGCCCTGACAGTCACCAATCTCTTCTCTGTTTCTATAATTTTGTCATTTTGATGGAATCATACAGGCTATGACTTTTGGGTATTTATTTATTTTTTTCACTCAGCATGACTTCCTTGAGATCCATTCAAGTTGCTGCATATATCAGTTCATTTTTGTTACTTAGTCGTATTCTATGGTATTTATGTACCACAGTTTGTGCAGCTATTCACCCATTGTAGAGCATTTTGATTATTTCCAGGTTTTGGCTATTACAAGTAAAGCTGCTATGAACCAATGTGTACAAGTTTTTATACAGATAGAAGTTTTCATTTCTTTGGGATAAATGCCCAGGAGTGTGATTGCTAGGTTGAATGGTACGTTTGTTTATTTTTAAAAAAAGAAATGGCCAAACTATTTTCCAGAATGGCTGTACCATTTTATATTCTCATCAGTTTATGAGAGGTCCAGTTTCTTCACATTCTCATAAATATTTGTATTGTTATTTTTTATTTTAAGTTGTTTTGATGAGAGTGTGTCTCATGGTTTTTTCCATTTCCCTAATGGCTAATGATATTGCACATATTTTCATATGTTTCTTTCTCATCCATTTTTTTTCTTTGGTAAAATGTTTCTTCATTTCTTTTGGCTACTTTCTACTTGGATTTTTTTTTCAACGTTGAATTCTGAGAGAACTTTTGTTTTTGTAGGTATGGGTCATTTGTCAGATATGTGGTTTGCAATATTTTCTGTTGCTTTTTACCCTCTTAACAGGGTCTTTTATAGATCAACAGCTTTTTTTTTTTTTTTTTTTTTTTTTTAATGTTTATCCATTTATTTGGAGAGTTTGAACCGGGGAGGGGCAGAGAGAGAAGGAGAGAGAGAATCCCAAGCAGGCTCTTTGTGGAATAAACCTAGCAGAGCCCAATGCTGGGCTTATTCTCACGGACCTGTGAGATCATGACCTGAGCTGAAATCAAGAGTCAAATTCTTAACTGACTGAGCCACCCAGGTGCCCTAACAGTTTTTGATTTTGATGAATTCCAACTTAATTGGGTTCCCCTCACCCTCTCACCCTCTGCCTTTTCATGGTATTGGTGTAATGTTGAAGGAGTCTTTCCCAAGACCTTGGTCCTAAAGATTTTCTCCTATATTTTTTTTTTTTACAAGTTTTATAGTTTATGTTTTAATTTCTGATGTATTTTGAGTTAATTTTTGTATGAGGTGTGAGGTTTAGGTCAAGATTTAATTTTTTGTCTGTAGATATTATTTCAGCACCATTATTTTGAAAATACTGTATTTCCTCCATTCTTTTGCAGTTTTGTCACAGATCTGTTGGCCATACTTGTGTGGGCTGGTCCTGAATTCTCTATTCCATTAATTTGTCTCAGTTGTTCCACCAATAACACATAGTCTTTATTACTGTGGCCATATAATCAGTCTTGAAATCATCTGGAGTGACTGCTCTCACATGATTTTTGGTCAGAATTGTTTTGGCTCATGCTCACTTTGGCAGCACACATACTAAAATTGGAACGATACAGAGAAGATTAGCATGGCCACTGCACAGGGGTGACATGCAGATTCGTGAAGCTGTCCGTGTTTTTAAATGGCTATCTGAAATAAAGACTTGAATGCTTGTTGAAACTGGTAAAAAAAAAAAAAAAATTTTTTTTTTGGCTCTTCTGTTCCTTTGCCTTTCCATATAAATTTTAGAATGATTTTGTTTGTATCTACAAAAAAAAAAAAAAAAATCTTGCCAGAATTTTGATAGGAATTGGATTAAACCTGTGAATCAGTCTGGGGAAGACTTGGCATCTTAACTATGTTAAATGTTCCAACCCATTGATATGGTATGGAAAGTCTCTATGTTTATTTACATCTTTGATTTCTTCATCATTGTCTTGTAGATTTCACTTTTTTATCATTTTCTTTGTGTTTAGAGAACTTCCTTTTGTCATTCTTTTAGGGTAGGTCTCTGGTGACAAATTTTCTTTGAATGTCTTTTTTTTCAATTTTTTAAAATATTTTATTTTTGGGAGAGAGAGAGAGAGAGAGAGAATGAGTGGAAAGGGGCAGAGAGAGAGGGGGACACAGAATCTGAAGCAGGCTCCCGGCTCCAGGCTCTGAGCTGCCAGCACAGAACCCAACACAGGGCTGGAACTCACAAACCAGGAGATCATGACTTGAGCCAAAGTCAGACTCTTAACTGACTGAGCCACCCAGGCACCCCCCTGTTTGAATGTCTTAGGATGTGATTTTCCCATCATTCTTGAAGCATATTTTCACTGGATAGAGAATTCTGGTTTGACTGTTCTTTTGTACTTGAAAAATACTGTATCATTTCCTTTTGGCTTATATACTCTTTGATGAAAAAAATCTGTAATTAATGCTTTGTATCTTTGGCTACTTTTAAGAGTTTTCTTGTCATATTTTAGAAGTTTGATACCATGTGCTTTGGCATGGATGCCTTTGCATATATCCTATCTGGAGGTTACTCTGGGAATGTTTTTCTGCCAAATTTGGGAAATTTTCAGCCATTATGTTTTTGAATACTTTTTAGCCCCATCTTATTTTGTGGGTGTCTAATGACACAAATGTAAGATTTTTCTTAAGTTCCATAAATTCCTGAGGCCTTTTCTTGGGAAGGGGGGAATGTCTGTTTCCCTGTTCAGATTGGGTAATTTCTATGTTCTGTCTTCAAATTCACTGCTTATTTCTTCTGTTTCCCCATTCTACTGTTGACTCATTGAGGGTTTTTTTGGTTATTAAACTTTATAGTTCTCAAAGTGTCACTTGTTTCTTCTTTATCTTATATATCTTTCCTGAGACTTCATATTTTTTTTTTCATTTAAGTATGTTTGTAATTATTCAAGAATTTTTATGATGGCTGCTTTGAAATTCTTGTTTGATAATTCTAACATCTGTGCCATCTTGGTGTTGACATTTGTTTTCTATCATTCAGTTTGTGATCTGTTGATTCTTGGTATTCTGTGTGCTTTTTTAATTGAAACTTGGACATTTGGGGTATTATGTTACAAGACTGGATCTTATTTAAAACAGGACTTTTTTGGCACCCTTCTGGTGGATAAAACCTGATACTGCCTTGTTACTGCTGGTGGAAGTAAAAGTCCAGGTTCTTCACTTAGCCACTGTTGATAGCCCATGATGGTGAAGGAAGGAGCTGTCTGTTGTTATTGCTGGGTAGAGGTGGGAGTTTAGGCTCCCCACTGGGTCTTTGCTGATACCATCCTGATTGGGAGGGGGAGAGGTATTTTATTATTGCTATTCACTTGTATTCCTCTGGTGGGACGGTAGCCGTGTTACCCTTGAGCAGTGATGAAAAGTTCCAACTTTACTAGTCTCTGATACCACCCAATGGGGAAGGGATAGAGTTTTTTTTTTCCTACAGCATGAGAACGAAATACCAGACTTCTGGTCTTCGCTGACTGTGAGGGTGTGCTTCCATGATGAGTGGTAAGGGTCCTGCCTCTCCAGTAGGTTTCTGATACCTCACCAACAAGGAGAGGATGGGGTTCCTTGTTAGTGCTAGTTGTAGATGACATTTTGGGCTCAAGATGAACTGAAATGACTAGCTTCTCACTTGGTCTTCTCTGACATCACCCTGGTAGCAGGGTTTGGAATGCTACATTATATTCTGGCAAGAGTAGAAGTCTAGGCTGTCTACTTGACTGTTGCTGAAGGGAGTGAGAAATGGAGGCTACAGTTTTTATCTGTTGTATTTGGCTGGAATAGATTGGTTATTGTCTTCAATTTTTGTCTTGCTTGGATACCCATTTTCTTGTCTTTTGGTTAGAGAGAGTAGCTTTTTAGAGGGCTTTTCAGTTTTCCCTCTTTTGTTTGTGCTTATTGGTGTTTTCTGAGTTGCCAGCTTCTCTAATATCCAGTCTAGGGTAGAAATGGG